AGTTGGTTTTAGAATTGATTTTAAAATTATTTTATTTACTTTTAAATGTTTAAACGGCCTGGCCCCTCCTACCTCTGTGATCTTCTTCTGCCCCATGTTCCCTCTGGGGCCCTGAGATCAGCTGATGCTGCTGGTCCCTGAGACTCAGTGTGGGCCTCGAGGTGACCAAGCCTTTTCTGTCACAGGTCCATGTCTTTGAGACCAGTCCCATTGAGACCAGTCCCATTTGGACCAGTCCCATTGAGATCAGTCCCATTGGGACCAGTCCCATTGAGATCAGTCCCATTGAGACCAGTCCCATTGAGACCAGACCCATTGAGACCAGTCCCATTGAGATCAGTCCCATTGAGACCAGTCCCATTGAGACCAGACCCATTGAGACCAGACCCATTGAGACCAGACTCAGTCTCTGCCTGTTTTTAAGTCACTTCTTAAAACTCATCTTTCTTAATGTGCTTTTGATAATGTTTGATTTTAGGTATTTATTGTTTTATATGTGTATTTTTAGTCATTGTGTTTGTTTTTGTGGACAGCACTTTGGCTGAACTCTAAATTTTTTAAAGTGCTTTATAAATAAAGCTGGTATAGTATAGACCAGAGACCAGGACCAGAGACCAGGACCAGAGACCAGGACCAGAGACCAGGACCAGAGACCAGGAGCAGAGACCAGGACCAGAGACCAGGAGCAGAGACCAGGACCAGAGACCAGGAGCAGAGACCAGGACCAGAGACCAGGACCAGAGACCAGGAGCAGAGACCAGGAGCAGAGACCAGGACCAGAGACCAGGAGCAGAGACCAGGACCAGAGACCAGGACCAGAGACCAGGACCAGAGACCAGGAGCAGAGACCAGGAGCAGAGACCAGGACCAGAGACCAGGACCAGAGACCAGGACCAGAGACCAGGACCAGAGACCAGGACCAGAGACCAGGACCAGAGACCAGGACCAGAGACCAGGTGGACGATGGTCTGGTCTTCACTGGTTGGAAAAGTACAGAACATGAAACAAAACCAGGAGACTTTGTCACATACCGAGCGCTGTCCAGGGCCGGGGGGGCCGGGGGGGCCTCTGGGTCCTGGGGGCCCCTCGCCACGGTCACCCTGAAACACACACATCACACATACACATACACACACATCAGACACAGAGTGAACACACACATACACACATCAGACACAGAGTGAACACACACATGAGACACAGAGAGAACACACACATCAGACACAGAGAGAACACACACATCAGACACAGAGAGAACACACACATCAGACACAGAGTGAACACACACATACACACATCAGACACAGAGTGAACACACACATACACACATCAGACACAGAGTGAACACACACATTAGACACAGAGAGAACACACACATCAGACACAGAGAGAACACACACATCAGACACAGAGAGAACACACACATCAGACACAGAGAGAACACACACATCAGACACAGAGTGAACACACACATCAGACACAGAGAGAACACACACATCAGACACAGAGTGAACACACACATCAGACACAGAGAGAACGCACACATCAGACACAGAGTGAACACACACATCAGACACAGAGTGAACACACACATCAGACACAGAGAGAACACACACATCAGACACAGAGAGAACACACACATCAGACACAGAGTGAACACACACATCAGACACAGAGAGAACACACACATCAGACACAGAGTGAACACACACATCAGACACAGAGAGAACACACACATCAGACACAGAGTGAACACACACATCAGACACAGAGTGAACACACACATCAGACACAGAGAGAACACACACATCAGACACAGAGTGAACACACACATCAGACACAGAGAGAACACACACATCAGACACAGAGTGAACACACACATCAGACACAGAGAGAACACACATCAGACACAGAGAGAACGCACACATCAGACACAGAGTGAACACACACATCAGACACAGAGAGAACACACACATCAGACACAGAGTGAACACACACATACACACATCAGACACAGAGAGAACACACACATCAGACACAGAGAGAACACACACATCAGACACAGAGAGAACACACACATCAGACACAGAGAGAACACACACATCCGACACAGAGAGAACACACACATCAGACACAGAGAGAACACACACATCCGACACAGAGAGAACACACACATACACACATCAGACACAGAGAGAACACACATACACACATCAGACACAGAGAGAACACACACATCAGACACAGAGAGAACACACACATCCGACACAGAGAGAACACACACATCAGACACAGAGAGAACACACACATCAGACACAGAGAGAACACACACATCAGACACAGAGAGAACGCACACATCAGACACAGAGAGAACACACACATCAGACACAGAAGAACACACACACACATCAGACACAGAGAGAACACACACATCAGACACAGAGAGAACACACACATCAGACACAGAGAGAACACACACATCAGACACAGAGTGAACACA